GTGCTAAGTTAAAACACGCCAGTGTAGGCTGGGACCTTTGCAACTCCTCATGTCCCACAGCAGTTCTGGAGGGAGCTGGCAGGTGAGGAATGACCAAAGGAACACAACAAAATCCTCGTGTTAAGGAAAAGAGACAAGGTAGAGTTATTTCTGAGGACTCTGCAGGCCTAGGCCTGTTTGAAAACCACAATGTCTATTTCTACTCTTAATGATTTAGCCAAATGAAATACAATGAAACTACATTAACAAACCTAAACACTTTGGAAAATAGGCAAACAAGTGTTAGCACTTTATTTCTTCAGATTCACTGTTCCTTTGCAGAGCATCTGACCCATGCATTAAGCATCTCTGTTCAAAGCATTTGTTCTATGAAAGGAAAACCACCTCACAAAACCACTGCACTTCTGATATTTCAGGTAAAGATGTAAGATGGAAGCTGCTACTTCAATGAGTTGCCAGTGGAAATGGGAATATCCATCCATGCAACTTGACAAAACTTCAGGTCAACTACACACACTTGTAAACATAGACTAGATCTTCAGTAACTTACCATCATTTCATGGTTAAATATTTTCTTAATTAGAAAAAAGTATTTAAGTCTCTAAGCTATTTATTAATTCTACAAGCAGTAAAAATGACATTGATGAACATATGAAGGCTGATATATATTTAAAAAGCAGCCAACTGCAGAAATGTCACCCAAAACTACTAAAAATACTAAAGCTGACTCAAAAATTCCTCTGTACAGCTGCATTAAACACTTTTAACCCTGTCAATGGGGGGTGTGTCAGGGTGTGGTACTGGTTTCTTCCATTTACAGAAACACAGAACAGGATTAAGTCTACAGGTATAGAATTATAAATCTAAAGCAAATTTGGATCACTATTGGTTGCTTCCTCTGTCTGGAAGCACACACCAGCACCAAAATCTGGCATGTGTTCCCACGACCTGGACATGCTCAGAAACAGGGAAAGGAAATAAGGACACTTGAAAGAAATGACACTGTTTTTTTGGCATGACTCCAAAACATCATTCCTGGTAGAGAAACTGTAATTCAATAATCCTGAAACTTTTCCAATGTCAATTCATCCTTTCAGAGAGAAAGGCAAAGAGACTTGTAATTCCATCACTAGAGATGGAGCTTCCAAAATGTATTTTATGATCCAGAAGATGAAAGAGCCCCAGACCTGAATGCAGCTCAACACAGCCCAACTTCTCCTCATACGTGGAGTAATGGAACTATCACAGGAACTCCTGTGTGTTCTCCATTTCCATTTCTTTTCAGGAAAGAAACAAAACAAACCCAAAACAAAAAACCTCAAATATCCTTTTATTTTACCCAAGCCATATCCTGTTGCAGACAGACTGATGGTGCCTCTCCCCAAACTCTCCCTTCTTTTTTAGGATACTGTTTCCAAAGCACAGATGAGGGAAAGGAAAAGAGCGTATAAACAGAAGCAGCTACCATTTTGTAAACACGCGGAAAATCCAGCTCGCAGAGCGCTTTCCTGCCGCATCACGGCCCAAGAGCTCCCGGGCGGCCAAACCCACCCCGCTACACCCCGGGCGGCTCCGGCACGGCATTACCGGGGGAATTTAGCGGAATTCAGCGCCGCCCGAGCCGCTTCGCAGAGGCCAGGGAGAAGCGGAGCCCTAGGGATCGCGGAGGGTGGAACCGCGCTGCCAGAGCCGGGGGATCCCGCCCCGCCCGCCCCAGCGCCCCGCACCTCCGCCAGGTCTGCCAGCCGGTCCTTCATCCCCGCCGCGGGCCCGCTGCCCTCCGCTGCTTCCGCGGGGCCCGCCCGCACCGCGCACGCTCGGCCGCTCCGCGGGCTCGGCCGCACAGCGAGCGGGATCGGCCCGGGGCGGGATCGGCCGCGGGGAGGAACCGGGGCGGGATCGGCCGCGGGGAGGAACCGGAGCGGGGAGGGACCGGCAGCCAGCGGGGAGGGACCGGCAGCCAGCCCCTGCGGGCCCCGCCCGGCGCCCTGACGTCTGACGGCACGGTGGGCGGGGAGCGGGCACAGAACGGAGCGGGCACTGAGGGGAGCGGGCACTGAGCGGGACCGGCACTGAGGGGAGCGGGCACTGAGGGGAGCGGACACACAGCGGAGCGGGCACAGAGCGGAGCGGGCACTGAGGGGAGCGGGCACTGAGCGGAGCGGACACTGAGGGGAGCGGGCACTGAGCGGAGCGGGCACTGAGGGGAGCGGGCACAGAGCGGGACCGGCACTGAGGGGAGCGGGCACTGAGGGGAGCGGACACACAGCGGGACCGGCACGGCTGCGGGCGGCCAGGAGCGGTCGGTTCGGCCCCGTTCCGGAACGGGCTGGACACATCCAGACCCCGGCTGGACCCGGCCCTGTGTCACCCGCGCCAGGTGACCCTGCCTTGCGCGGCGCTTGGAGCGGATGGTCTCCAGAGCCAAGCCCAAGTGTTCTGGGAGACGCGAATGCGCCGAGGGCGCGTCAGCGGAGAAATCCTCGGTGCGGGAGAGCTCAGGTGTGCTCCAGGGAATTCCCGTCCCACCAGGGATCCCCACGAGGAGTTATAACTCGGTTGCGGGAGATTGTAGTGAGAGAAAGAGCTGTAAAAAGGTGTGATCTGGTTATTTTTCAGTGGTACAAGCTTGTCTTAAAGGCCTGAGAGTTTGTAGGAGAGCATGCACGGACTGTGGAAGGCAGTACTCCTTTATACCACTCCTCATCTGCATCTGCAAACACTTTGTACCTGCTGCCTTCTATTCTGTATGTTTACCTGTGTCAGGCTTGCTAAGTTTGTTTACCGTTGACCTGAGTTAAGATACAGGGGATGTAAAGGCCTTTTCAAAATAATTATTCTGCCAATTGCCTACGGATCTCACGGACTCTAATCTTTGTGTAGTGATCTAACAAGTGTTTTGCTGCCTTTGCTGAATGGGGTTATCTGGAGCAGATGTTCTGTGCATCCTCTGAACTGAACACTTAATTATACATGCTGATAAAACAGATGCTAAAAAGTAGTTTCCACATGGTAATTTATCTGTTTAACAATTAAATAAGTGTTTGCCAGAAGCTCAAATGCTATGATAATGGAATTTTTAATTATTCCAAATTAAAGTGCTAGATACTTTGCAGGGAAAAAGTAGTTTACTAATAAATGTGTTACAATATTAAGAAATAACTAAAGCACAATGAGTATTATATACACAGTTACAGATTGCTTTCCCCCCCATGTTTATATTCTTTAAAACTGCCAAACTGCACTAATGTGGCTTTATGGTCTCCTATTTATAAACACATTCCTGTTTGTAAAAAGGAGAGGTGGAATTCACAAGGGTTTTACCAGGATAGCATTGCGCTGAGAAAAAGAAGAGTTGCATATTCTGAAAAAAAAATCCTGACACCTAGAGGCACTCAGCAAAAATGCTGAAAACCACACAAACCCAACTCATGTCAGAAAGGGAAGGCAAATTCAACATGCCAGTGATTTTTCCAAGATCTCACGCAACATTTGGATTGGCATTACGCTATCAAGTAAGCAAAAATTACAGCACACTCCAGCCACTCTTGTAATTATAAATGCAATTACACTCTTTGTGTATATTGTGTCTCAGAGGAAATTAACAATAAACTACATTTGTGTATATCACTTGCCATGAAATACTTTCCTTATCAATTCCATTCATTCAGATACATGTAAAAGCATATCATTTATTTATTCTAGATTATGGGGACAGCAACAAAGATAATAAAAGTAATTTAAGTATACTGGATTAAAAAAAAATACCAGAGACCTTAAAAATCAGAGTGAACACATGAACTTGGTTTTTATCGACATACGCAAAACTCGTACTTTTTTTGAAAGCTGGCTTTCAAACAACTTTTTTTCCACTAATGTTTGGACAGAGTTTTTAGATCTTGGAGAGCTATTCTAAATCCAAGGCTTACAAAACAACTTTTGTTTTCATTACTGCACTCTCTAGTGAAGGTAGATTTGTTTGAAGAATGGAAAATCACAGTCATGAGGCACATTTAAGAAAAGTCCCTTTGAGCACAGCCCAGCATACCTGAGAGCAATTCAATTCAACCCTCCTGATGTGAAAAACCTCTTTACTAAACACTGGACGCAGTTGAACAGTTTTTCTAAGTAACTACGTGCCTTTTTTTCACTTTGTCTGCGGAGAGAGCATCATCAGCTGGCAGCATCATCAGCTGGCAGCATCTCCTGGGATTTCACTGATGCAGCAGGAGGTGTAGGGGAGCGAGCCTGGCACAGGGGCTGTGTCACCCCCACCAGGACACCCGGGCAGTGCCCACACTGTCCCCAGCACCGAGGAACTGCTCCTTCCAGCAGGGCTGGGGCCAGGGCTGTGACAGGGACATCTGCCACCGCTCAGGCCTGGGCCCCTCGCTGCGGAAGGGCCGTGGATGTGCCCAGCAAAGGCCAACGAGGCCACGAAAGGTGTGGAAAACGCGTCCTGCGAGGAGCGGCCGAGGGAGCCGAGGCTCAGGGGACACCTCCTGCTGACAGCCCCGCCGTCAGCTGCGGCCAGTCCTTTCTGCCGTGCCTGCAGCGACAGCACCGGACCAAAGGGCCTCAAGGCCACATTCACTTTAGCTATTTGAGCACATTTTTCCGCTGTTCGGGTGGTCAGCCATTGGAAGAGCATGCCCAGCGAGGTGATGGAGTCACCATCCCTGAGGTGCTGACGAGGATGCGGCGCTGTGATGCGGTTTGGCGGTTTCGGAGGCCGTGCTGGGCGGTCGTTCTGGCCGGCTGGCCTCACGGGGCTCTGCGTGGGGCCGAGTCCGGTGCGGTGCCCGCTGCCCGGTGCGGTGCCCGGTGTCCGGTGCGGTGCCCGCTGCCCGGGGCCCGCCACGCTCCCTCACGGCCGGTCCGGTGCCCCGCCTCCCGCCGCCTCCCGCCGCCTCCCGCGCGCCGCGCACCACGTGACGCGTGGCCCCGCCCCCGCCCGCGGCCGCGCGGCGTCGCCGTCCGGGTATTTGAACGGCGCTTCCGCCATTTTCCCTGCGCCCGGCACGGAACGAGCGAGCGGGAGACGCCTCGGCTGAGGTAGCGGCCCGGTACGGGCCCGGGCTCCGCTCCCTGCGGCCCGGCGCCATCGGAGCACGCGGGGCCGCTCTGGGAAGCGCCCCCGGCGGGGGCGGCGGTCACCGCTAGCTCGCGGCCGGGATGGGATGGGATGGGCTGGGCTGGGCTCGGTGGCGGGCGGCTGCGCCTGAGGGAGCGTTGCGGCTGCGGGAGCCGAGGCGCGTGGCGGATTTTCGCCGCTGGGAGCGGGGCGGTGGAATGGCCGGGGCCGTGCGCGGCTCCGTCCGCGGTGGAAGGGCGGGCGGGATGTGAGGGGCAGCGAGCGGGGCTCCCGCGGCCGAGCCGAGGGGGAGGCGGCGCTGCTCAGTCATGGTGGCTCATGGCGGGGAGCGCGCCCGGCCCGGTGCGTGGGGAGGCCCGGCCGGGGCGGGCCCCGCTCGGGAGCCCCGCAGGACTCGCCGCGGCCTCTCCCGACCGGGCAGCGGCTCCCATTGAGCGGCGGGGTGCTGGCTCCGGGCGGGCTGGGAGGACTCTCCGCGGATTGAGAGGGGAGCTGGGGCCGGCCGCGGCTCGG